TTATTGCATGCAAGGCCATTGGAGTTGATGGGTGGAGTCTTACACAAAACATGTATGTGTGCAGAATATGGCCAGGATAGGTGGCAGCCTATGGGGTTTCATTATTGCATGTAATATTATTGGCAGCCTTGGGGGGTTGCATCCCTTACTTAATTGAAATTTTTAGCCTTACGTTTAACATAACATTGATTCACATAATCTGTCAAATCTTCCAACCTTCGAATCAGTCATCAAACCTTCAAACATTCCAGCATTCATACCTTCATACAATCAATAAACCTCAAACATTCCAACCTTCAAACCTTAAAACAATTCTACGCAATGGCCTCTTCACCATAATTTGTTGTCAAAGCACATTTCAACGGTGAGACATACATTTGTCCCACAGTTGGGTTTTTGTTTAGAAACACCGACAATGTTCGATTTCTCTTAAACGAGAAAGCCAATTTCTCGTACTTCAAGAAAAGATTGAAGGCCAAACTTGAACGAGGCCCGGTATCCCAGATATTTTATGAGAATCCAGTTTTTTTTGGAAACAACCAAGTAATTTTTTATAAGGTTGAAGTTCAAGATGACGAGGATCTCCAGAACATGATTTCCAGCCATGTCTATTCTGGATACGACTCTATTGAGTTGTACGTTTTGCTTCAAGAGCCTCCGGTGACACAGGAGGTAGAGCCTCCGGTGACACAAGAGGTTGATCCTTTGGAGAATGAAAAAGATGAGGTAGATGCAGTTGATGATGAAGAAGAAGATAACGAGTTAGAGTTTGATGAAATGGTGAACGATGATTCTGACGATGATGGCATCCCAAGTATTCCTACAGACAAAATCTACACACCACCTCCGCACATGACAAACTTCAACATGGGCGGAGATGAACCTTCTACTGACTTGTTTTTCCAACCGTATATGCAGTCGGATGAAAATTTAAAAGAGAAGGACAAGTTTCGTAACAGAGAGGAATGCATCAGGGCCATTAAAAAATTTCACATGCTCAACTCGGTTGATTTTAAGGTGGATCGTGTCAACCCGGAAAGGTACAAGATTAAGTGTGTTCACCCTGACTGTATGTTCAAGCTGACCGCATCATACAGATTAAGGGGTGACTGCTGGGTCATAGGTTCCATGACTACACACACTTGTGTAAGTTCCACTCAATCACAAGACCACCGAAAACTCAACCATGATCTAATATGTCAAGAAATCCTACCCCTGGTCAGCAACGACCCATCTTTGAAGGTGAAAACAATCATCTCCCACATCACCACGGTTTTTAACTACACTCCGTCTTACCGTAAGGCGTGGTTAGCAAAGACTAAGGCGATTGAAAGGGTGTACGGAAACTGGGAGGAGTCATACCGAGAACTTCCCTGCTACCTAAATGCACTCAAGACATATGCTCCAGGTAGTGTTTATGTTCTGGAAACATTGCCAGGGTACGCCCAATATGGTAGTCTACTGCATGGCAACGGAATATTCAGTCGCGTGTTTTGGGCATTTCAACCATGCATCACAGGGTTTGTATCATGCAAACCAATTCTACAAATTGACGGGACTTGGTTGTATGGGAAGTACAAAGGCACGCTATTGATGGCAGTTGCACAAGATGGCAACAATAACATTTTCCCCATTGCGTTTGCCCTTGTCGAGGGGGAGACCGGTGGTGCTTAGAGCTTTTTCCTGAAAAATCTTCGTACACACGTGGCTCCTCAACCAGATCTCTGTTTGATCTCGGACAGACATGCCTCCATTGAAAGTGCCTATAATAATCCAGCAAATGGTTGGCATGACCCTCCTTCTACGCATGTCTATTGCGTCAGGCATATCGTCCAGAATTTCTCGAGGGAGGTCAAGGACAAAACATTGAGGAAAGCGGTGATGAATGCGGGATATGCATTGACACAACCCACATTCAAATATTACCGCAACGAGATCCATTTGTCTAATCCAGAAGCCGGTACGTGGATCGATAATATACCGGTCGAAAAGTGGACTAGGTCATACAACAATGGCCAAAGATGGGGGCATATGACAACGAATCTTATTGAATCAATGAATGGGGTATTCAAGGGCATACGAAACCTCCCAATCACTGCCTTGGTAAAATCCACGTATTTTAGGATGGCTGCGTTATTTTCCAAAAGAGGTGAAATGTGGTATGCGGTGTTGCAATCAGGACAACTATGGAGTGAAAGCTGTATGAAATACATTAAGGCTGAAAGTGCTAAAGCCAACACTCACATGGTTACACGGTTTGACCGACACAGCCACAACTTTATTGTGAAAGAGACAATCGACCACAATGAAGGCCTGGCAAGACAAGAATACAGGGTCATTTTACCTTCTCAATGGTGCGATTGTGGCAGGTTTCAAGCATTTCGTATGCCTTGCTCTCATGTCATTGCCGCTTGTGCTCATACCCATCAAGACGCGCTTCAACTGCTCTCAAACGTTTATAAATCTGAAACGTTGCTCACTGTTTACAACAACAACTTTCCTTTGGTGGCAAAACCGAATTATTGGCCCGAATACAACGGCGATATAGTTTGGCACAATGACCAAATGCGAAGGAACAAGAAGGGTCGTCCCAAAAGTAGGCGCATCACAATAGAAATGGACGATCTTGACAGGTTGGAAAGAAAGTGTGGTTTATGCCATCAGGTCGGACACAATCGCAAAAACTGTCCGAGTCGGGCGTCTGGCTCGACCACATAAATATTGTAATACAATAAATCTTTTCAATATTTGTGTTGTAAACATTAGGGTTTTCCGTTAATAAAACTGTTAACACAATTTAGGAAATTCAATATAGGAAATTACATTAGGGTTTTCGCGTACAACAATGATTAACGATATTCAATCTAGGAAATTACAACTGTTAACACAATTTCATCTGACCCATGCATCATCAGCATTACATCACTGTCTGTTTTGACTTCCTCCAACCACACATTAGGTCTTCCTGTCGCATGCGAGGTTGTTGTTCATTTTCGCTGGATCCTTCGAATTTTTTCCCCCTCCGCGATGTCTCCATCTAGCCACCGCATCAACTCCCGCTTCAGACGCTCCATGGAGCGAATGTGCCAGAATTTCATTTTCATCGCAGGTTTCATGGCGGAGAATATAACGTAACCATCTCTGCTAAAAATCATAGGCGACGTCATTACGCAAATAACGAAGTACAAAATAAAAATACAGTGCGAGAAAGTGTGAGAAATTTCGAAGAAACGGACGAATTATTTATAAAACAGCATTTTGCCCTAGTTTTGCCCTAGGCGCCAAGTGAGATGGCACCTCCTCTCATTTTTAAGGAGCATGCGCCATCTCACTTGGCTAAAAGCCAAGGGAGGCGCCAAGTGAGATGGCGCCTAGGGCAAAACCCTAGGTGCATGCGCCAATTGAGATGGCTCCTCCTTTGTGGAGCAATCTGAAACATGGTTATTTGCGTAATTTTTTCTGAAACCCGGTTATTTGCGAAATATTTTTTTAATACATGATTATTAATAAAAAAAATTCTACAATGGAATTAGCTTGAAGCATGTCTTTCCATTTATATAATACTACTAGCAAACAATAAATAAAAATTTATTACTCTAAGATTCATTTTTTTTTAGGATATAGTCTGGTTTATGGGTCAATTTTAGGATCAGTTTTGACATTATTTACTTTTTATTTTTTTCAATTGTAATTATGAAAATCAAATCGTAATTCTTTCTAATAAATTTAACGTCAATTACTATTAAATAAATTAATTATTGATATTCATTTTCTTGTTTTGTTTAAAGAAAAACATACTATTTGACTACTAAAAATATAGAAAATAATAAAATGATATGTTTTTTTCTATAAAAAAATGATTGACTACCAAAAACATAGAAAATAATAAAATAATATGTTTTTTTTTATAAAAAAAATAATAACAAATTCGTGATTTTCACACTTTTTAAGATAATAATTAATTATGTTGATTTCAATAATAAAATAATTTTTATTTACTAAAATAATAGACTTTTTAAATCTATTTCAATAAATTTATATTTTTAATTTAAAAAAATCACATTGATATTTTAAAGAGACAAATAATTAAAAAAAACACTATTTATAAAACTGAAGGAATACATCATTATCACATTAAATGATAAAGTTATATATGAAAAAATTACACAGTTAAAATTATATAATTATAAAATAAAACTTCAATTTAAAAAATAAAAAGATTAAATTCACTGGAATCTAATCATACAATAAAATTTGGTGGAAGCATGTGAGTTTCCATTGATGCAATACTACTAAACAACAAATAAAAATTTATTAGTCCAACATTCATTTTCTTGTTTTGTTTTAAAAAGACATACTCCCTCCCTTCTTTCTCTTTTATAAGAAAATTTTAACTTTTTAAATTAATTATATATAATCTAAATACATTATTTATTCAATAAATTTAAAAAGTTAAAATTAACAAAAACATAGAAAATAATAAAATGAATATATTTATTTGTAAACAAAAAGTGGTATGAAACTCATGAATGTGATGTGAGCGTCTTCTTCACATTCACACAATCTCTCTCCCATCACGCCACGCTTCTTTCATTCTTTGCAGAACCGACAAGCATCACAATTCATCCAAATTCCACATCTCACCGGAACACACTCCAAAGGTTTCTCCTTTTCATTCATTCCCTGATCCAATTTCGTTTTTCATTCATGGGTTTTTCAATCTCGTATAAAGTTTTAATTTTTCCTAATTATTATCTTTGTTTCGATTAATCAATGCTGATTCTTTGTAATTAACGAATTTTCCGAGTTAATGCGTTATTAATACAAGTCTTCTCTTATTTCACTTTATTATTCTTTGATTTAACTCCGAATTTATTACATTGTATTGATTACTTCTATCTTATTATTCCATGTAACAGGCTTGGTTGATCACTCAAAATTATTATGATTTATGATTCAAATTTTGAGATTAGACGTTTTTCCATGGTTGGTTGAATGAAATGAGTTTTGATACACCTTTAGGTTCTCCCAGAATGTCTTACCATCCAAGGCCACTTTCTTGGATTGTTATTTTAGTAGGAGCACTTGCGATTTTCTTGATTTACGCTTCGTTTGTTCTTGTATCGTCGCCAATTGGTGCTCATGTTCACGGGTATTTTTACGGGATAGGTAGTTCGGAGAAGTTAGATGTGTCTGTTGCTTCCGTAAATGATGGTTCTGTTGATAAAAGTTTAGATATTGATGGTAAAAAACCGTCTTTTGATCAACAAATTGATGGTAGTTCGAATACGCGAGTAGCTGATAGTAACTCCAGTTTTGCGACTATTCCGGTAGGAGTAGGTACGGATGCTTCCAATTTGACAGGTAGTGGTAGATCTGAGGAACCTCCTTCTACGGTTTCAATCAATCAGTCCAGTGCTGTATTTACAACCTCGAAGGAGGCCTCCGCGACTTCTGATAATTCCACATCAACAGCTGTTCCAGAATCAGTAGAGAAGCCAGACAATGCCGGTTCAGTTAATTCAGGTTACAGTTGCAATTTTTTCACCTGATCTAGCTTGTTTTAAATGCATCATTGTGTTTGGTATTTACCATTTTGTTTTATATAATCAAGAATAACATAAAATTCTCTGTTTTAATTTACTTCACTCTCTTTTGGAAGTCCATTGTGTGACATAAAATAGTCTCTTTTTAAGTCATTACTTGATAGGATAGGAACCTAGAGAAACTGAAATGAATGGAAGATAGAAAAATCATGAGAATCGAAGTGTATTATTGAAAGCTAAACCGGAATTGGCAACGGAGAATTAGATAATTCAACACATGAAATTTCTCTTCACAAAGGATATTTCATTTCACTTACAAATACAACTATCAAATTGACATCTCCTTCCCTCCAATGTATGACTCCAACTAAAATTACTATTTTTATCTAACTTGGAATTTTGATAGAGTTAAAACACCCTTTTAGCTATTTGTCTTGTTCATATTGTAGTACCAAAAACCACCGAGGGAGAGATTGATTTAATCTTTAACACATGCATACACATGTACTATTTCATACTTTTAAAGGATTTGGGTTGAGAAAGAGAGAGAAATAGAGAGAGAAATATTTTACAGTGGATAATAATACAGAAAAAGTGATGATGTTGTTCATATATATTTCTGAGTACAGCTATGAGGACTTGGAATGAGATTCCTTGCATCCACCACTTTAGCTTGATTTTAGTACAATTGTCAAGTAACCTCTCTGTTACTCTGGTCTCTGTTTAATTCTCAATTGGGTTAATTAAGTGGTGTGTGAAAATTATAAGAATTTCTATCGTATGTTAATGTTAGCATAAATCTGATGTGCCGTGAGTTGGAATGCATGTTGCGATGCCTCAGATCACTAAATATAATTTATATCATTGTATTATGGTGAAAACTGTCAATGATATTACTGTACTGGCATGTGGTTAAGTTATCATCCGCTAGAACTTCAGTTTTTTCAACACAAGGTGATTATGAGGGCTCGCAGTCAAGTGTGTCAGATGCAAAATTAATTTGACCTTGTTGCTCGTGCTAGCCCCAGAGATTTATCATTCAGTTCCATCCATAATTTTTACTTTTTTATGGTTTCATTACATAGTTCTATTTTGGGTGGATATTCATTTCATTCACTACTCTCTCTTTTTGTCATGTCATTCACTATTATTCAATCCCATTTAACTTGTTGAAGTTGTATCGGAGTCATACATTGGTTAGGTTTACGGGATGTTGGATGTATAAATATGTTTGGGCAACCTCATCCTTTGAGCTAGCTTTTAGGATGAGATCCAAGCTCATTTAACTGTCCATTCTCATCTGACCCACTTAGAGACCGTTATTCCCACAAACAACCCGCCTCTATGACCGCCGCCCCTAGATCGGCCAGTCCCCAAAGTTCCTTCACGGACGCTCACCGGACGCGCCCTACTTACGAACATATGTTCATGACATATATCAGTCCCTATTCAGACTTTCGTTGGCTTAGATTCATAGGATCCAATGACACTTTAGTGACTTGGATATATCCTTTCAATTTGAAGCCATTTTATTAGGCCTGTTTTATATATTTTGAAGAAAACAAAGAAGGCCAAAACTCTTGCAGCGGTGCAGTTTGTATCTACAGTTATAACTTGTCATGTTTAATACATTTGTGGCTTTCCTTTTGGTGTGCTGTTCATGGTTGCTTCAAAGGAGTTTCCTTGAAAATGGCACTAGGTGTTTTCACTTTGTGGAAAAGTCTATAGTTCTCTTGTTCCAAATTTGCCTTCGATATATCCAGGTCAATAAATAAATTGTTTGTCAACCTTCGCCAGTTTATGTCCATTTTCCCTCTGACTTGAATGCCCTGTGACCACTTATTGTTGCGTAGTTTGCTGGGTTGGGCGAGTAAACTAAATTGTTTAACATGTTTAATCAGCTCTAACTTCTGCATAAACTTAGGGATTTACTAATTTGTTTAGGAAAAATGAACGGAAGATCTACTGGAATTTTGGTGTGTCTGTTTGTTAAGTCTCTAAATTATAGGTGGTTTTTTTCTTTTCAAAAAGGATCAAAACATTACTTTTGTTCTTGTCTTCTGGGATAGACTGTGCTATTGAGTCTGTATAATCAACATGACAGGAGGAATATTAACATGATGATGTTTAATAGCTGGAATTACTCGGTATGAGTTTTTTTAATTGGATTTTCCATTCTGTTGTGTAGACTGTGATCTGTACCATGGGAATTGGGTACATGATCCACTGGGACCGCTATACACAAACAATACATGCCCTGTATTGACACAGATGCAGAATTGCCAGGGCAATGGGAGGCCTGACAAGGATTATGAGAATTGGCGATGGAAACCCTCTCAATGTGACATCCCACGATTTGATCCCAGGAAATTTTTGGAGCTCATGAGAGGAAAGACCTTGGCTTTCATTGGAGATTCTGTAGCTCGAAACCAGATGGAGTCAATGCTGTGTATTCTGTGGCAGGTTATTTCTTTGATTCCTTATTGAACTTTTTTTGCATTGAAAATTAAATGAATTCAGGATTATAGAAATATTTAACTGTTTTACTATCTCATTGTTGCTGCATATTATTTGTCATTGTTTCTGCATATTAACTGTATGACTTCAAATATTCATATATACTTCCATAGAGTTTTCCATATACTTGCTTGTGTGTTCTTGGTGCATTGATTGAGCATCCATTTTATCACAGCTAGAAGCGTAACTAAAAATATGGTATTTTCAGGTAGAGGTGCCAAAGAATCGGGGAAATCGTAATATGCAACGATATTATTTTAGGTCTGCATCTGTAATGATAGTCAGGATATGGTCCTCATGGCTTGTCAAAGTAACATCCGAACCATATGCTTATGCTCCAGCTGGTGTGGATAAGCTCCATCTTGATGCCCCTGATGTGAAGTTAATGGAGCATATCCCAAACTTTGACGTGGTCGTCCTTTCTTCCGGTCATTGGTTTGCTAAGAAGTCTGTGTATATCTTGAACAATGAGATAGTGGGAGGACAGTTGTGGTGGCCAGACAAATCTAAGCTTATGAAGGTCAACAATATTCAAGCATTTGGTATATCTGTCGAAACAATTCTTACCGCTCTTGCTACACATCCAACTTACAAAGGTCTAACAATTGTGAGGTCCTATTCGCCTGATCATTATGAGGGTGGAGCCTGGAACACCGGTGGATCATGCACTGGGAAGGTTAAGCCTATTCCACTTGGTGAACTAGTAGAAAACGGGTTCACGAATACGATGTATGGGCAACAGGTTACAGGTTTTAACAATGCTGTGAAAAAGGGTACTACAAATCCATCAAAGTTGAAGTTACTGGACATAACTCAAATGTTTCAATACCGGCATGATGGTCATCCCGGGCCTTACAGGAGCCCCGACCCAAATAAGATCACAAAACGTGGCCCAGATGGAAGGCCGCCGCCACAGGATTGCTTGCATTGGTGCATGCCAGGTCCTGTTGATACCTGGAATGAACTGGTGTTGGAAATCATCAAAAGAGAATATGAAGGTGGAAGTGCATCATGAGATATTACGCGCGCCTCTCACAAGATATGCTTAAATAGCACAAACATCCCTTTACCGCCCCGAATTCGCTTGGAGGTTGCAATTGCAGACACCTCTGGTTTTGTTCAAATGACACTCCCTCTATTTTATTTTACATAATAGATAGGAGTTGTTTGTAACTAAGGGAAGTTGAATATCTTTTACTATATAACATGTTGTGCTTCTGGACTCATGAGGTTGACTTGTTTAGACTTTATAGACAGGTAAAAATAGGGCCGGCTTGTATTTTTTTTCTCACAGAATAATAATTAATATATGTCAGAGAGAAATTATTTATTTTGAAGGATTGGGATGGTAAGCTGCTAGTTTATCAAATGTGTTCATTAGCAAGTTCAGGTATTAAAACATCATCTTACATTGTCAATTTGTTTACTTAGATTTGACCGAAGGTGATCAAACTAGTAGGGAGTATAACATTGGACTTCTTTTTAACTGACTTTTTTTAAAAGTTTGATCTGACTTTATAGACAATTTTTTAACACTACAAAGAGTGCTTGAAGTACACTTGAGAAATAGAGTCATGTTTCTTATATAAAGATTCTTGATAACTATGTTTGGCAAAACTTTTCATAAATTAATTTAGTGTGACACATAAATCACCACTCCATTATATAATTCAGTATATTATGAGTAGTACCGGTAGACATAATGCAAATTATATCTTTGATGTGGGACATAAATTTTAAGTAGGATAAGCTTAAGTTAACTCAACAAGATTTTGTGTTCTTTAAAATTTTGTGTTCTTTAAAAGTAATGGGGGATACACATTGGTGTGATATGTATGTTTTTGTTTTTAAAATATAATAAAAATATAAATAAAATTGTTATATAAAAAAAATTATTATTTTTATAAAAAAAATATATTTTAAAATAAAAACAAAATTATTTTACCAAAATTATTTTCATATATATAAAATTAAGTGATCATTTTAAATTAAATGATCAATTTATTTTATGTTTGTCAAAATGTATTGATATTTTATACAAAAATTTATAATAGTTGATACAAAATGATTTAAAACTAATTTGAAATTGATTTTATTAAAACTATTGAGTTTAATCATTTATAAGTTTAATTAAATATTAAAGCCATTAAATTGATTTAAACTACTATATTAAAATATAACAAAAAGAGCACATCTCATCTCATATTTATTTATTTAATAGTAATAAATATGTGTCTCATATTTAATCATGTTATAGATATTAATGTTTCTCCCTATTTAATTACGTATTGATAATAAATATTTTAATTAATAAGAAATGATTATTGATCTTACCTGATTAAATTTGGACCGTCACGACTAGCTCCGAGCTGAAGTTGAACGAGATGGGGGTACCTGCAAGGCAATCCGATGCTAAAGTGAGTGATGGTACGAGCAGGCAAAAAGTGTATGTATGGGTAAGAGAATGAATACCTGACCCTCTAGGAATAGAGAGTATTTATAGCCCCCAGCGCGGGGCCAAGGTCCCTTTATTGGGCCGACCAAGACTGGCCCAATAAAGGAACTGCCAGGTTATACGTGTGTAGTGGGGACCCGCACGTGGTCCCCTTCCTGGTGATGCTCAGCGAGAAGTACGGACGGACGAGGACGCGGTCTTTCCGGAGTTCAGGTGATGGAGTAACGGTCATAGTCTGCCCTACGAGGAGGGTGCTCGAGCTGGATTGTATGTGGTCGAGGGCACGGCGGGCACAACTGTAGATTCTGGTCGACACGCTCCTTGTAGAGTTGTTTGGATTGGGCCTTCGTTCTTGCTCTTGGGCCAACCCGGGCCCAGTCCAGAACAGGAGCCTCCCAAGTCGTGGCTCCTGGAACAGGAGTTATGACTTGATCTCAGCTCGCCTTTGTCACGGGGCCTCATGCTCGGCCAGGATATTTGATTCCCCGTGGTTGCTCGAGGAGTTTCTCTTGTGTCGCGTTCGTGAGGTAATCCCTTTCGAGGCGTGCTCAGGGGACTCTTTGCGGGTTGTGCTCGTTGAGTATACGAGGTAGCCCTTGGGAACCGTGACGCCCCCTAGTGAAAGTAAAGTCATCATTACCTAGGGGGTAGACGTCGAGGAGGGGAAGCTCGTGGTTCCCCGGGATGACGTTCACTGATCTTACCTGATCAGACTTGGACCGTCACGACTAGCTCCGAGCTGAAGTTGAACGAGATGGGGGAGGGTACCTGCAAGGCACTCCAATGCTAAAGTGAGTGATGGTACGAGCAGGTAAAAAGTGTATGTATGGGTAAGAGAATGAATACCTGACCCTCTAGGATAGAGAGTATTTATAGCCCCCAACGCGGGGCCAAGGTCCCTTTATTGGGCCGACCAGGACTGGCCCAATAAAGGAACTGCCAGGTTCTACGTGTATAGTGGGGACCCGTACGTGGTCCCCTTCCTAGTGATGCTCAGCGAGAAGTACGGACGGACGAGGACGCGGTCTTTCCGGAGTTCAAGTGATGGAGTAACGGTCATAGTCTGCCCTACGAGGAGGGTGCTCGAGCTGGATTGTATGTGGTCTAGGGCACGGCGGGCACGACTGTAGATTCTGGTCGACACGCTCCTTGTAGAGTTGTTTGGATTGGGCCTTCGTTCTTGCTCTTGGGCCAACCCGGACCCAGTCCAGAACAATTATAAAAGGATTATCAAAATTATTTACATAATATTAAATTTCATCATTAATTTGAATTTTAATATTACAAATTATATTTAATGTGTAATAAAAATATTCATAATTGTAGTTAATGTATTATATTTTTTTTAAATCATTTTAACAAATATCAATAAGTTGATTCATTTATAAAATTTAATCAAGTTCAAATATAAAAAAATAAAATTTATAAATTAATGATCTTATAAATTAAAGATCTTATAAACTTAATTTAATTTAATTTATATAATTTTAATGACACAATATTTATATTTGAAAAATCAACTTTTTTAACAATAATTAGTGAAAGTGAATATTTATATATAAATTGTAATTTTTGTAGATACATTTTTTTAAATAGTGGTTAATAAAAATATAAATTTTTTGATTTAGATATTTGAATATTTTTATTTTATTTTATGCCATCAATGAAAAATATTAATTGATTGTACCCTTTTTGTTTAGTTTCTTAAATAATTTTTTTATAATGATAAGTATTTTAAAATGTTATAAATCAGTCTATTTAATTGATTTGAAGTATAATAAATATAAATAATTTTAAAGAGAAAAAATCATGTAAATATTAACAAATTTATTTTTAAGTAGTTTTAAATAAATTTATAAAGTGTGCATCAAACTGTCAAAGAATATCTTAAAGACAAAATTAAAACAAACGGTACACGTGAAAGAGTTTAGCAATACAATCTAACAACATATAACTATAAATAAAAACGAAAAAAAAATTCAAAAACACATTCTTTCATCTTGAAAAATGGATCAAATATATTTTATGAACATAACTTTGTGATGTCATGTGCCTTATAAGTTTTCTATTTGTTTCTATTTTTCAACACTATATATTCTCATTTACACTAATTTTCAAAGGAGAGCTTCATGATTTACAAATTCTCATAAACACAATTTTTTTTTTCAATATTCCCTATTTATAAATTTGTATACCCCCTCCCCTAAATGATGTAATAGCGTAGTAATTTTAAATTCCGCAATTTATCGCTTTATATACAAATGCTAGTTAATTAGGATTTTGTATGGAAAGACTAAAACTAATCAATAGCAAACCCTAATCAAAGACAAATCAAACATAAAAATCAATACACTTGCACACAAACACCCCTAGGATAAATCCACTTGGTTGTCTTACAAAAATGATCATATTACGCATGTGAGGTATCTTAGCAAAGACAAGTAAAATACAAGATCATAGTCCCTCGATGACGCTGTCTATGTTGCCTTTTCAAAATGATCTTAGTCCCTAAAGAAAAATGCTAAGATATCTTGCAACATTGCTAATTATGGTTATACGATGACTCACGTCCGTCCCTTTTACATTCAAAGATAGGGTTACTTACCAAATCAATAGTAAGATAACAATGTCAAAGGAAAAAGGAAATGAACATGAAAGACTTTTGAGTAGGTAGATTGTTCCTAGTTACTTGCTCCATTTCAAAACAAAAACATCCTTGCTATTTTCAAAACAAACACCAACACTTCCAAAACATCTTTCAAAACTTGAAAATATTTTCAAAAGATCAACACCTTTGTATACATTCTTACGAACGAGAATCATTACAAATTTTACCTAGACAAATACCTCTTTACAAAATACTTTCAAAAACCACACAAAGCACATTTTCAAACAAAAGCAATTGATCTAGCAAGTAACTAAGATCCCATGGAAAACCATGTATGAAAAGGGTACTAATACCTTCCCTTTTCATAATCTACCCCCCCGAACTCAAGAAACAATCTCAAAGGTCTTTCCTTTGCTTTTTCACATTTCCTTTTGGATAAAAGAAAAGTCGGTGGCGACTCTTACTAACCGCAACATTTACGATCAAATGAAAAACACCCAAGTCAGTTCTCCCACCGTATCACATGTAGAAATGGGCATTTCTTGTAATCACCAGATTTCGACTAATAACCTTTCATTTTCCTTTAATTCCTTACGTTACAATTAATCATGACTACTTTTTCAAAACGTCTCATTAAAACGTGCGTGCAACAGTTTAAACATCATTATGTATCAACTTCCAAGAAAATTAATAGTGGTCTTTCACCTTTCTTCATAAGATGCTCCTTTGAATACAGAGACTCCTTCGCCTCCTCCCTCATCCAGTGGTGTTGTCCAAAACAAGGAGTCTTCAACTGGGGTTCATCAACCTGAAGCAGGTGATGTCCAAGTTGAACAAGAGACTTCCTCTCCTAGAGAAGATGTCTTACCAGAATCTGATAAGCAAATAATGGAGGAAGACGAAGACTCTGAAAGTACTCCCAGTAATTCTCCTTCAAAAAGGGCTCAATTTC